AGATAAAAATTAAAAAAAATTGTCTTGAAATCTAAAAAGATTGTAGGGAAACCTGATTTGTAGCCAAAAAAAAAATAATAATAAAAACTTCTAAGCAAATCTTTTTTGAAGCAAAGAATTCGAATTTTTTAGCAAAATTTACTTAGAAAATTACTTTATTTTACTAAAAATCAAGTTTCTCTCTAACAAATTTTAAACTCAAAAATACAAAGATTTTACAATTTTTAACTTCACTTGAAAAAATGCTCAGCCAAACAGCCTCAAACTGCATCTTAAAACAAATCCACAATAGTTAAATGAAGATATCTTATACGGTATATAAATCCAAGTATATATATGAAGCATCTCTTTATCCGCTGAAGTGATTTCTGGAATATTTTTTTCTCTTGAATGAGAATATTCAGAGGACCCTAATACTCAAAATTGCAATGGCAAAAAGTAAAAAATTCATTTTTTTTCTTCTTTATTTAACAAAGGTGCTATGCCTTTCAATGTGCACAGATACATATACACCGGAAACAAATTCATTTAGGAGAAAAGGAAACAAAAAGTATAAGAACATCTGCGATGATTTGTCGTTGCTCTGTAGGATAGCTTCAAATTAATAATTTCATAAGTGAATGAAGACATAGTTTTCATTTTCTAGTAAAATATCAACTAGGCCTTTCTTAAGGCTCCTGAAGGCATTGAAATGTTAGAAAATCTGGAATATCTTGATTTATCTTGTCCAGAGCTGGATCTGTTTCAGGTTCAGCTGTAATCTGTGATGTGGGGAAAGAAAAACTAAGAAGTTCATAAAATTAAAGATGGAACCAAGAAGGAATATGACAGCAGCTCATACACCACAGTAAAATGGTGTTTGTGAAAGAATAAATCGTACTATCCTAGACATGGTGCAAAGCTTAATGACATGGAATGTTAAATGAATTTTGGCTAGAAGCAATTAATTGGAGTATTCAATGTTCTAAATAGTTCTACTACGATGGTAAAAAAATATGACACTGAAAGAAGCACGAAGTTGCAGACGACTGACTGTTGCCCATTTCATAATTTTTGAGTATATAGCATATGTCCATGTACCAAGCCAGAAAGGAAATAAGTTGAATGACAAAAGAAATGTGATTTTGTTGGCAATTAGTGGTTATTCTAAAGCTCATAGGCTTTATAATCTTATTACCAAGAAGATTGTTATCAGTCTAGTCGCACTCTTTGATGAAGACAGAATATAGGATTGGAATGCTAAGATGGCTAGCAAGCCATTGCTAACAAATTTTGATGTTAAAGACAATCCGTCACAGCAGACAGAAGTAAGACCGTCTTTGACAAAAGTGGAAAGGCAGCCAGAACAGAGTCAACCAAAAGCAACAGAACAAATTTCGCCAGCAACTAAAAATGTTAGCTATCCAGCAATCAACTCACCTCTAAAACACGCCAAGAAAAAGCCAGTTTGGATGCAAAGTAATGAGATATCAAATAAACCTAAATCTAATGATCAAGTCACCCATACAAAACGATAAATTATAAAAAAATAAAATTAAAAGAATTTTTTTATTAGAGTTACAAAACTTATAAAAAGAAAAAACTACAATCATAGTATACAAAACCTAAGTTTCTATTTCTCAGTTGAGCAAACTTAGACGTTCACGCCGTAGCAAATCTGCTTTTTGTCAAGTATGTTTTGACCCTCATCCGCTTCCTTCGTTTTCACATCAAGATTCAGATCTAGAAGTGCAATATCATTCTTTAATTGTTCGATTGCCTTGTTTTCATTCTTCTCTTTTAACCTATATTCCCTATACTGAATATACCAAAGTACTCATATGTCAAAACTTTATGTTTAGTTGGATGAAATTCATATTCCTTAATCAAATTTTAAAATTTGGGTAAATTATACAAACGTCATGCATAACTAATAAGAAATTCCGCAAAGAATAAATATAAAGCTAAAACGATAGTAACATAAAAAAAAAAAATAAATAAATAAAAAAAAGGGGGAGAAAGAAAAAGAGAAGCTAAAACAGTCAGTAGTAGTTGAATTGAGAGGATGTTTTGTTGGGTTTTTTAAAACAAAGAAATGGAGAGAACCGAGAGGAAGATGGAAAATAGAGCATAAGCTGAAATGGAGAGGAGTACAATAATCACTGTCTAGTATTTCTTGAGTGTGCTCGCTGTCATCTTGCTTCTTTGAGTCTTCAATCGTCTCATTCTCAATGAACACCACATCTCTGGTTCTTATTAATTTTTTGTTTTTCAAGTCCCATAATCTGTAGCCATACTCCTCATCATTTCAGCTTATGCTCTATTTTTCATCTTCCTCTCGGTTCTCTCCATTTCTTTGTTTTAAAAAACCCAACATGGTATCAGAGCCCTATTGATCTTTGAGGGACTGTGAGAGAGTTAATCGAAGCATAACCAAAACCCACCTCTCTAAATGGATTCCAGTAGGTTCGTTTTGAAATCACTCTTCCATTTTTTAGCCAAATCACTTAGCAAGTGGTGATGAAGGCATATGGTAGGCCCACTATAGCTCAAGATCAAGCATAGTGAGGAGATGGTGTGAAGAGGCAAGCTGGACCTACAAAGAGAAGGTGTTGATGGATTCTACAGGCAACGGTCCAAAGGGGAAAAGAATGTCTGTCAAGGGTGCTGCCTGAGAAAGGAAGAAAACTCAGAGCATGCATCAAGTCATGTTCACTAGAACAGAATCTGATCATTGTGTTTATGTTAAGAGGTATCCAGATGGTGATTTCTTGATACTTTTGCTTTATGTGGATGACATGTTGATTGTTGGTCATGACACAAAGAAAATTGCAGCCTTGAAGACTGACTTGAGCAAGTCCTTTTCTATGAAGGATTTGGGTCCAGCAAAGCAAATTCTCGGAATGAAAATTTTTCAAGATAGAAAGAACAAGAAGTTGTGGTTGTCACAAGAAAAATATATTGAAAAGGTGCTTAATAAGTTCAACATGAGCAAAGCAAAACCTGCGGGCACTCCACTTGCTAGCCATTTCAAACTTAGCACAGAGCAGTGTCCTGCAAGCAAGGAGGAAGCAGAATACATGAAGAATGTGCCCTATGCTTCTGCAGTTGGTAGTCTAATGTATGCTATGGTATGCACAAGGCCAGATATAGCTCACGCAGTGGGGGTAGTGAGCAGATTTTTATCCAATCCTGGCAAGCAACATTGGGCAGCAGTTAAGTGGATTTTCAGGTATCTTAGAGGTACATCTCACATGTGCTTATGTTATGGTGAGCATGAATCTTTACTTAATGGCTATAGTGATGCTGTTTTGGGTGGAGATTTGGACTCTAGAAAGTCCACTTCATGATACTTGATGCTTTATGCAGGGGGAGCAATTTCATGGAAGTCAAAACTACAGAAAAGTGTTTCATTATCCACTACAGAAGCTGAGTATGTAGCTCTTTCTGAAGCAGGAAAGGAGATTGTATGGATGAAGACGTTTTTTGAAGAATTGGGTCTTAAGCAAGAGAGATTTGTGCTGTTTTGTGATAATCAAAGTGCAATTTACTTGAGCAAGAACCCACAGTTCCATTCCAGAACCAAGCATGTTGATTTGAGGTATCATTGGATACGTGATGCAATTGAAGAAAAGGTGCTTGATGTTGAGAAAGTTCACACAGATGACAACAGCTCTGATACCATGTTGGGTTTTTTAAAACAAAGAAATGGAGAGCATTTCGGGAGGAAGATGATGAAAAACAGAAGCTGAAATGGAGTTGGAGTCATATACTCCTCTCCATTTCAGCTTCTGTTTTTCATCATCTTCCTCCCGAAATGCTCTCCATTTCTTTGTTTTAAAAAACCCAACATGTTTGGTATATAGTGATTTCAAATTAACAATTAGTTGTTTTATCTAATATGATAAGTTGATAACAGATAGTATCATTTGAATTATTGTTAACAATCATTAATGATTGGATTCAACAAAACTGCTAATTGATATTTCGTTACCACTACAAGCTATTTGAATCCCGAGGAGGGATGTAGTATTGAAAAAATGATTTAGCTTAGATTAATATTGGGTTTCTAATATTGTAACTTTATCTTAATAGAGAATTTTTCTTTTCTTCTACGTAGTTTTTTTTTTTTTTCTCATTTAGGAGGGTATTTCACGTTGAATTAGATGTAAAGAAATTTTTTAAGAGTCAACTCAAGGACCTCAGGTGATTCTGATGTGGTGGGAGACGGTTTGGTAATTTGGGTAAGGATGCGGATTTAAAGGTAGTTGCCAATTTGAAGAAAATGGCAGGGGATGCAACGGATATGTGGAGAAGCAAATTTGGATGAATCAGTGGTGATGACAAAGGGATTTGTTGTGAAGATATCTCATGATGGTGAGGGGAAGTTGTTTGACGCATTCCATGGGAAATGAAATCAATTTCAAGAAATGGCAAATTGACTTCAATGAGTAAGGAGAGTCAAGCATTGATCAAAATGGTGAGGTAATTCCCAATATTCTACAACTCGGCCTAGTGATTGACTCATTTTTGTCATTGGATCTGGTTCAACCAAATGACTTAATAAATATTATTAAATCATTTTATTAATTATAAATAATTTTTATTTTAATTGATTTTATTTTTAAAATTGGTTGAAAACATTTTTACGTTTATTGTTCAAAGCATTGTCACTCTATCTCTTTTTGATGGTTGCAGAAGGCCTAAATGGTATCATCTCTTCGATGATAGCTCCTCACAGGGTATTTGAAGGCATAGAGGTGGGATTTACTTGGATGCAAGTGTCACATCTACAATTTGCAAACACACCATCCTATTACCATCCTGTTTGGGAAAGCAACAAAGGAAAATGTATGGGTGACAAAATGTTTCTTGAGAATTTTTGAGGTTGTGTATCTGACCTTAAGATCAATTACAGGAAAAGTCAATTGATGGGGGGTTTTTGTGAATTAGGATTGGAAAGCTACAATGGCACACATGTTAAATCATAAAGAAGGAGAGATGCCTTTTGAGTACTTAATTAGGCATTCCAGTGGAAAGTAATACAAGGAAGATGGCTGCGTGGAGACCCTTGGTTGAATCTTTAAAAAGTGGTCTGGTTGGAAAGGTTGATACTTATCTTTGGTGGTCAAATTATACTCCTTAATTCCGTGCCATCAACTCTACCTGTGTTCTTCATAATAGTATACTTTGATACCTAAAGGAGTTATCAACATTCTCGACAAAATTAGAAGGGGGTTTCTATGCAGTAGGAGTGAGGGGAGGAAGAAAATTAATTGGGTCCAATGGGACATAGTTTGTAAGAGCAAGAAAGAAGGGCGATTAGGTGTGAAAGACCTTAGATTATTTAATTTAGCTCTAATAGGGAAATGGTGGGGTAGATTGGCGGCAAGCAAATAGTGTTTTTGTAAAAGGGTTTTAGAAGCAAAATATAGGTGCACTGGACATAACTAGTTTAGTTGGGTGAGGGAAGGTAGGAATGTAGGGTCTTTGCAGTGGAGAAATGTATGCAACTTAAATGATGTTGAATCTAAAAAGAACCGAGTGGACAATGGGTTTAGATTGAAGCTTGGTGAAGGAAAGGACGTTGGTTTTTGGACGGATTTGTGGGTGGGGAATGAGTTGTTAGCTAAAAAATATCCTAGGCTGTTTTCGTTTTCAATAGGAAAATACAATACAATCTCACAAATGGGCTATTGAAACAATGGTGAATAGAGCTGGACACTTAAGTGGCGTTGCAGGCTATTCTTATGGGAAGAAAATCAACCGTTGGAATTGAAGAATGCAATTAAGTGCATCAAGTTACAACAAGGAAAGAAGGATCGGTGGAACTGGATTCATGATGAAATGGAAAACTACACAGCTAAATCAGGATATCTAATGCTAATAGAAGGCCATCAACTTGACAATGGATGACCCCACAACAAACTTTGGATTTCTGCACTCCGAGCCAAGGTTAGTGCTTGGCAGCTACTACAAGCCAAGTTTGCAACTAAAATATTCTATTTCAAAGAGGTATTTTGACTAATATTGAACAATTAAAATGCTGCATTTTGTGATGGAAAAGACGAGGATGCTAAACAGTTGTTCTTACATCGTAATTTTGCTTCAAGTGTGGAACATGTGTCTACAATGATGGGAAATAGTCTCAATCACAGCTGAGGGGATTCTTGAGGCATTTCAACAGCAATTTTCATTATTCAAAGATTACAAGGTCACAGAGGGTTGGGCAATTATGTGGTGTTCAATAATTTGAGCATTATGATTGGCTAGCAAACGAGAGGCTTTTCAGGGACAGAGAGACAAATGAAGTCTAAGTTTTGGAATTGGCACAACTAAGAGCATTTCATTGGACCACAGGGAAATCAAAGGTACTAAGGTTGGGTTCAATGATTGGATATTGGAACCCAATGAGTTTGAAAATATGAATTGGAAGCAATGTAAACATAGTAGCTAAAGTGTAAGGGCAGGTCTAAGATCACTGATCTCCACCGAGCCTGTTTAAAATCAAAGCACAACTAGAAATCTCAGGAGAGGCATTCCCTGAGAAACGTATGGGTACTACATTTCTACAACATCTGACAAATGAATCAGGTGATACAGAGTCTAGATGGCAGTCAAGAGTATAACATATCAATTGTGCACCACAGTTTTCTACCTCAACTTATTGCCAAAGTTGTTGAATGTCTCCTCCCTGTTATATTTTATAAGTGATTGATAGAATTTAAAATTGAAAAAGTAATTTATTTGTGGACATTAAAAGGTTTTTTTTTAAGCAAACAATGTAATTGACTAAATAGTACAAGATGCATTTCAGTTAACAATTTCATATCCATGGGATAAAACTATATTCTGAGCTCTCAAGACAAATTACTGATAATCTTGGCAATCACTCATGTGATACTTCTTTAACTTGGGGTCAGAGTAATCAAGTAAGTAAGAAGCCCTCTTGATGGGCAACAAGTGAAAACAAATATGGAAGATAGTCGAATTGAAGTCGAATTAAAAGCAATGCCATATGTACTCATAATGTTGAGTGCAAAGGGATGCTGACCATGGTAGAGAAAATAGAAGTATATAATAGTTAGGATTATATAACATATCAGCTTTGCATAGGTCATGGAATCAATAACATTCTTAATAACTAGCAAAGGTAGATAGTGACAGGATGTATCTACAGGATTGTAATTTTAGTCTAGAACACATAAAGGAAAATGACCTTTATTAAGTCAAACTATCAGATTACTAGCCCAGTGTGCAGCCAAATCCAAAAAACATCATTAGAAAACTAGTCCCCAAATCCTTTAATCAACTTTATGTGGATCAACAATTTAATTACCATCAACAAGACCGTTCACACTGGCTACTAAAGATGTAGATTGTTAAAATTGGTACCAAAAGAAGATGCAATTTTAGTTTTAAAGGCTAACTACTAGAGGAAATACCCCCACTTAACTCCTCGATTGTTTCCTTGTGACTCAAGTAGAAGTACAATTATAATGGTTTCCAGAAGAACTCACTGGTTGTGCAATAACCATCATATTTTCCAAGGAAATCCATGTGAATATAAGCAACAGCTCACCAATTAAGAGACCTTGGTAAGAGAACCTTGGCCGATTAGGTGATAGATGAACTTCAATCATTCTGCTTTTAAAGTTAAAATGGCGTAGTTGGCTAAATCTCTGCAATAATTAATAATAAAATGAGGAATAAAAGATACATATCAGTAAGGGTGAAAAGATTAAGCAAAGATATAGCATGCCTTTAATTAAAGGAGTGCCCAAGCTATCAAACTTACATGAAACAAACGAAGGTAAGTTGTTTCTACCCTTTTTTTTTTTTTTTTTTTTGATAAGCTTGTTTGTTTCTACATTTTTTGTTCTGATCAATTATTAGTATTGGTACTACTATTTTTACCTTTTTTTTTTACAAAAAAAAATAGACGACGGGCGGGAAAAAGATAGAGAACAAAAGAAAAACTAAAGATAAAGACAATCTTGACTTGCATTAACCAAGAATGGTACTTAATAGGATAGTTGGAAAACTGAGGTAAGATGGATCTACAAACTGCCTAAAAATATAAAAGCAGCACAATATTTCTAGGTGCACAACCGGTCAGGGTAAGTGAAATTTAATTAATCTCTATTTTTTTTAGGATAATGGCCAAATACATGTATTTTAAATTACATGTATTTTGATTATATGTATTTAAAATAAACAAATTAAATTCAAATTCACATTGCCAAACACAAACTAAAAGAATTGCTAGCAATTTTGTTTACTTTCTAATTCTATAGTTTTGGGCTGTTTGGATTGCTTGAGTTTGGTCCCTACGTGTTACTCCCTCCCACGGTACAAGGTTGCTATAACCTTCTAAAAATAAAATTCTTTTTAATCGATCTTGAATTAAGGATTGGTGTTTATCAACTGTTAGTTTTAACATTGCAATTTAAGAGTAGTGGTCTTACCGTTAGTTTTAATGCGGCATGCATAATTTTAGAATTCTTACTGACTTTTCTTTGAAGCAGTGCTTGATTGATTTATTGCGTATTGGCTTCTGAGTTTCAAAACAGTGTCTGATTTTCTGCGTCCTCTAAATGCAATGCCTAATAAATGTTTGTTTAAATGCCTGAGTGAGTTTTCCTTCTATTTTGATGTCCCTTCTTCATGGTAGTTTTGATCTTTTTTACAAACTTAAAGGTAGATTCTGTCTAAACAGTATTTGTTGGGTTTAATATGATCATTGATATCTTTATTCATTTCATCATCCCTATGCATGTAGGAAGTTAGCGAGAATATAAAAGACTATAAATTTTAAATAAAAAACAGAAAAAAAAATTTTGAGATTGCAGGTAGAAGGAAGAATAATTTTTTTTTTAGAAGAAATACAATATATATATATATAAACCAAAAAATATAAAGGTTTAATACCCAATTTGGTCCCTAAACTTTCATTTCTAAACTTAGCTCGTCCTTTAACTTCAGAAAGCACACAAATCGTCCTTAAACTTTATTTTTTCGTAATCCAAATGGTCCTTCCGTCAACGGAACTGCATATCTAGCACATTAATCTCCACCAATTACCTTTTTCAATTTTCAAAAGTTTACATGGAAAAAACACCACACCCAATTGATGACATGGCAACAATTTCATGCAATGTCTCATTTTTTTCCCCTTCAGCCTTCTAAATAAAATAAAACAGTGGACACACATGTCATTGTCTTTCTCTTTATCTATGTAGACTCCCCTTCTAGATTCTACTTCACTTCACTATCTCTTTCCTTTTCCCCTTTAACCCTAAATCCTTCGCAACTTTCAATCAACCACATGATCCTCACACCGATCTTTGTCGTCGTGTTGGAGACCTACATCAGTTTCTTAGATACGGTGACGATTCCTAACCCATGCTCCACTAGCGCCTGTCTCCCTTCCATGCATATGCATTCGTAGAGTAACTTAATCAGAAACAAAATTTTTTTGCTTTTGGATCTGTTAGAGTCTAGTAAGAGCTCGTTTAAGATGCAAACGACGCCAAACTCTATCACCTTGAATCGGCTATTCTTTGACTTTTCTAAGATCTCAATTACAAACTCCAGCACGCATGTGTTGGAATAGGCCCAACACCCAAACAGGGCTGTGCATAGGCCCAACACCCAAACAGGGCTGTGCATAACGGGCCTAGGTTACTACCCATTAGCCCAAGCTGAAGGAGCATCAGTACAAGCACACCCTTGTGACTAGCGCCACGCGGGTCAAGGGGAGGCTTACACGTGCAGGTGTATGTCAGCACCAAGGGGCTATAAATACCCCCAACTACCTCCGATGAAGGTAATTAATCTCTACGCTTCTCTCTCTGCAATTACTCCTTGAGAGCATCTCTCTCTAGAATACTGAGTATTGCTGACTTGAGCGTCGGAGTGTTTTCCCCGAGGAAACAACCTCGGGATTTTCAGGTGTAGAAGCAGCTGAGGACTTCAACAATGTTGGACTGCGAAGCTGCCAAAACATTGGCGCCGTCTGTGGGAACACGTACAAGGAGTCGTGTAGCTTTACTTGCTGAAAGATAATATGGTTCGTACCTTTACAGGAGGTCGCCCTCCAAGAAATGAAATGGACGAACAGGAGGACACTCACGTATCCGAGCCCGGCTTGAATGACTTTAGGCCAATGCCAAGAAATCTTTTTGTAGGAGGAGCCGAACAGGATCACCTAAGTGAGACATGTGATGAAAGAACACCAACTGGGTATGCAACCCAGCCCAAACAGTTCCAAGTTCCAACAGGAACAAGGCAAAGACCTGCCAGACCGTACAATTCACAACGTGAAGGACCTGAAAGGTCAGCAGAACCTGCTCGGACAACCGAGCTCGAAGAGAGAACTAGAGTTCTCGAAATGGCAATGGGTAAAATCCTTGCCCGTTTAATTCTTGATGACCCCTTGATTCCTTTGCTGAACAGAGATGCACAACCGGCTGTGGTTGTTGCAACTCGAAACTCCCCCGCTCTCAGCAACATAGTAGTGCCGACTAGGCCAAGGGGAAGCGGGAAGTTGAATATCGAGCCCAGCTCGTCCAAACATAGTGAAGAACTGATGAGAAAAAATGCAGACCTTGAAAGACAGCTGCGGGACATACAAAAGTCTATTGACGAACTGAAAAGTCCCAGGTCACATTAACAGACTCTGGATTTGGATAGTGCACCACTAAACTTATCCATTACGGCAGAGCCGTATCAAGAGGGATTCAAAATTCCCCACCTGGAGACATATGATGGCTCGGGTGACCCTAATGAACATCTGCACACCTATCAAGCCATCATGAGAATCCAAAACGCCAATGATGCCATGATGTGCAAAGTGTTCCCAGCAACACTCAAGTCAACAGCCAGGAGATGGTATCACAAACTCCCTAGACATTCAATAAATTCATTTTCCCAGCTTGCCAAGCTATTTTCTAACAAATTTGCGAGCCAAAGGGAGATCAAGCGCACAGCAACCGAGCTGATGCAAGTTAACCAGAAGGAAGGGGAATCTTTGAGGGATTACATGCAGCGGTTCAACAAAGCCACCTTGGACATTGATAACGTCCCAGACACGATCTGCCTGTCCTCCCTGTTACATGGGTTGAAGTGTGGCCGGTTTCTAGACGACCTGCTTGAAAACCCACCAAAGACGTGGAACGAGGTGAATGACAGGTCGGCCAGCTTTATACTGTCAAAGGACTTTCAGTCGTCCAAGTGACGAGCTGATGACAAGCTGAACAAAGGCCAGGAACAACAACCGAGAAGAGAAGAAAAGAAGAAACAGAAGGTCAGTGAGCAATGGGGGAAACCAGTTGAGTTCCCGAAATATGCCAATTACATTCCTTTGACCTTACCTAGGTCTCAAATCCTGGCACAAATCCAGCACTGGGTTAGGAGACCTCCACCCCCATTGCATGATTCCCCGAGGGCAGATAAGAGCAAGCATTGTGACTACCATCGTGTATATGGTCACAATACAGAGGATTGCCAACACTTGAAGGACGAGTTGGAGTTTTTGGCTCGTAACGAAAAGTTAGAAGGGTATGTTCAGAATCCTCACACCCAGCAACCCGCTCAAACCCATTTTGTACAGGCGTACTACCGACCTTAAGGGCAGAGGTACCAGCTCGGCGGGACGCAGGATGTATATCAGGATAACCAGTACCCTTCTGAGCAGGGCAGAGCATACCGAGGACGTCCGTTCAACAGGAGAGGACAAGGACCGAGAACTACTGCCCCAAATCAAAAAGACAGGAAAGGGGTAGGTTATGCTGGAATACCCCCACCCTCTGGTAACATAAACATGATATCAGGCGGTGTTCACTCCGGGGGCCAAAGCGCCCGAGGCCGCAAGGCGTATGCACGCCAGGTGATGACAGTTAACAAAAACAGGCCTTTGAAATGCCCATTTGAAGAGCCAGAATGGGAACATGCCCCCATCACATTCAGCCCGGCAGACTACAAACGAGCAGAAGGAGAACCTGACATTATGATGCCCCATGCAGATCCCTTTGTGGCAACGGTTCATATAGGCAATCATAATGTCAATAAAGTGTTCATTGACACTGGCAGTTCACCAGATATCCTATACTGGAGTTGCTTCCAAAAGATGCAGCTAAATCCGAGCTCGTTGCGGAAGCATGAAGGCCCAATATACGGGTTCGATAACCAGCCCGTCCCGGTTGAGGGAGTTATTACTCTTCCTATATATGTGGGCTCAGAACCTCGCTTCAGAATGGATTCCGTCACCTTCCTGGTCGTTAAGATGGAATTAGCTTTCAATGCTATATTAGGAAGAGCCACCATGTGCGAGCTGAAGGCTGTTATCTCACAGCCCCATCTCTGTATGAAATTCCCAACTCCTCAGGGGGTAGGAGTGTTGAAAGGAAATCAGGAGATGGCCAGAGCCTGCTATCAAGACACGTTCAAGAAGGTCGAGCTCGCTGCAGCCCCGGCAAGTGTTGAAGGTCGCAAGCCAACCCAGCCCGGTCAACAAACAATGAGTATATCGGACATTGAGCATCGACCTGAGAGCGTTGAGCAGAAGGCAGAGCCAATAGAGCCAGTGGAAATAGTGCCTTTAAACCTGGATGTGCAGGAGAGAACAGTGAAGATCGGCACTAAACTCACAGAGGAAGAGCAGGCGGAACTTCTGAAATTTCTGAGGAATAATCAGGATGTGTTCGCGTGGACTACTGATGAAATGTTTGGCGTCCCAGCAGAATTAACAGTCCACAAGCTCAGCACAGACCCCACCAGAAGGTCGGTGGTGCAAAAACGTCGCCTTTTTGGCCCCGAGAAGCAAGCTGTCATAGATGAAGAGATACGAAAGCTGTTATAGGCAAGCTTCATCAGGAGAGTGGAATACTCTGAATGGGTGTCTAACCCTGTGCTCGTCAAAAAGCCAAACGGCAAGTGGAGGATGTGTATTGATTTCACCAACCTCAATGACGCATGTCCAAAAGACCCTCATCCGTTGCCAAATGTCGAGAAGTTGGTAGAACGGGCAGCTGGACATGAACGGATGAGTTTTCTAGATGCCAGCTCGGGTTACCACCAGGTCCAGCTGTTGTTAGACGACCAGGAAAAAACTGCTTTTTACGCTGGTGACACAATATACTGCTATGTTATGATGCCGTTTGGCCTCAAAAATGCTGGAGCAACATACCAAAAGCTGGTGCAAATCATCTTTAAGCTCCAGATCGGCAAAAACATAGAAGTGTATGTAGATGATATGATAGTCACCAGCGTGCAAGTTGAGGATCACATTGACGACCTGGATGAAACATTTCAAAACTTGCGTCGAGCTCAAATGAAACTGAATCCTTTGAAATGCACGTTTGTTGTGGAATCAGGGAAATTTCTAGGGTACGTGGTATCCAAGAAAGGAATCGAAGTAAATCCAGAGAAGGTACAGGCCGTTCAACAGATGGAACCTCCCAAGACAGTAAAAGATGTACAGCGTCTGACAGGTCGAGTGGCTGCGTTGCACAGGTTTATAGCCAGATCGGCAGAAAGGTGCCTTCCGTTCTTTAAAGCTCTGTGGGAGCCTAAAAACTTTCAGTGGACTGATGAGTGTCAACGGGCGTTTGACGAGCTCAAACAGTATTTGGCATCCGCACCCCTGCTGTCCAAGCCTGTCGACGAGGAATGTTTATATCTTTATCTGGGGGTCACAGAAGAAGCGGTGAGTTCAGTGCTGCTAAGGGAAGAGAATAAGAGTCAGAAGCCTGTCTGCTATGTGAGCAAGGTGTTACAAGGTGCCGAGCAGAACTACCCGCTAGCAGAAAAGGTTGCTTTTGCTTTGGTTTGCACGGCCCGTAAGCTGAGAGCTTATTTTCAGTCTCATCAAATCGTCGTCTATACCGATTTACCATTGAGAAAAATACTGCAGAAACCTGAACTCTCTGGTCGGCTTATTGGATGGAGTGTCGAGCTGAGTGAATATGACCTGAAATTTCGGCCGCGCACAACCATAAAAGGTCAAGCCGTAGCGGACTTTCTGGTGGAGTGCACCTCAATAACTAACAAAGAGAAAGCACCTGAACACCCAGTCTGGGTTTTGTATGTTGATGGAGCAGCTAACATTGAAGGGTCGGGTGCTGGGGCTGTGCTATTGGGCCCAGATGGCTTCAAGTCTGAGCATGCACTGAGGTTTAAGTTTCAGACGACCAATAACGCTGCAGAATATGAAGCCCTCATTTACGGACTAAAGCTGGCATCCGAGCTGAAAGTACAAAACATTTAGGTTTTTAGCGACTCACAGCTTGTAGTAGGCCAGGTGAATGGCACCTGCGACATCAGGGATCCCCAGCTCAGTCGCTATGCCTCTATGGTTAACAGATTGAAATTGATATTTGCCCTCTTCCAAATTGATAAAATACCAAGAGTAGACAACCACCGAGCTGACGAGCTGTCAAAGTTGGCCTCCTCGCAGGACATTAACCCTCAGAGATCAACAATTGTCGAAGCACTGGATGCACCGAGCTACACTGACTTCACAGTCGAGTGTCAACTGCTAAGTACAGACCCCTCTACACCGAGCTGGACCATCCCACTCATAAATTATCTACAAAGTGGCGAGCTACCTGAAGACCAGTCTACTGCAAAAGTGATTAGACGCAGGGCGGCACATTTCACTTTGGTAGATAACCAGCTCTACAAACGGGCATCCTCTATGCCCCTATTACGCTGCCTTACCCCCTACGAAGCTGAATACGCGGTGAGGGAAGTTCACGAAGGAGTATGTGGCACGCACATAGGTGGCAAGACTTTAGCTCGGAAACTCCTGAGGCATGGTTATTACTGGCCTACTATGGTCGAGGACGCGCTGAACTATGTCAAAAAATGTCCGACCGGCCAGTTCAATGCTGATGATATACACATGCCAGGTACCTAAGCCTGTTCTAAAGATCATGCAAACTTCCTGTTTGTCTATAAACTCAGCATAAATATCTTCCTTGAAACAGGAGAAATGCTATCATCTCTCACGTCTCCCCGGCCCTTTGCTCAATGGGGTGTCGACCTGCTCGGCCCCTTCACCAAAGGCAAAGGAGGCTGCACTTTTCTAGTCGTTGCAGTGGATTACTTCACTAAGTGGATAGAAGCTAAACCATTGTCCACGACAACAGAAAGGAAAATAAAAGAATTCTTGTTCAATTCAATATTGTGCAGGTATTCTTTGGTGACTTAGGTCATAAATAAACGGTATGCAAACGTAGTGTAGCTCAGCTCGGTTATCTGTGTGCAGGTTTGGCATACCTAAGCGGATCATCGCCGATAATGGGCCACAGTTCTGAGCAGCAGCACTGAGATCGTTTTGTAACGACTATGGCATTGAGCTCGCCTTGACGTCGGTATATACTCCACAATCTAACGGACAAGCCGAGTCCGCCAATAAAATCGTCTTGCGAGGCCTCAAGACACGTGTTTTAGCTGCACATTCTAATTGGGTCGACGAGCTCAATAAAGCGCTCTGGTCTTGTCGTACTACACCCAGCTCGACCACGGGTGAAACCCCATTTAGCCTGGCCTATGGAGCTGAGGCCGTCATCCCAATGGAGGTGGGATTGCCATCTGATCGAGTAGGCTGGCATGACGATCTCAGCAATGAGCAACTATTGAGAGAAAACCTAGACGTCGTGGAAGAAATCAGGGAGATGTCTAGAATAAGAAACATGGCGCATCAAAGTCGTGTGGCAAAATTTTACAATAAAAGAGTTCGAGCTCGCCAGTTTCAAGTCGGCGATCTGGTTCTACGCAAAGCTGGATTGACGAATGCTTACCTGCACATGGGCAAGCTCGCACCTAATTGGGAAGGACCTTATATGGTCATTTCTATTCAACGACCTGGGTCTTACCGGTTAGTAGATTTACAAGGTCGTCCATTACCATTCATTTGGAACATACATAACCTTAGAAAATTTTACAGTTAAGGGTTAACTTTACAATTAGTGTGTATGTATCAACGCTAAGGCCGTCATGGATCAATTGTAAATGACATTTCATAAAGAAATCAAAACATAGAAAGTTCAAAAAGGAAATTCAATTTGTATTTCATCAATGACCATTTACAGTTGGAGTACATGACATATAACGTCATTGATCAATACAAGTAAACAAAAGAAAATACA